ATAATTATATATCAAAGGGGGGTTAAGATCGTGCCTGAAACCTCCAAGTGCGTGTAGACGCGCAGTCATCCAGTGACCGCAGAGCTTATTTCATATCCCAATCGTGTTTCTAAAACTTGCCACACTAGTTTTCTATTTAAAGATACTTTTTCCCATGGTAAAGCATAAATTCTACATTTCAAAGCCCAGTTTCTTTCACTGATCCTAAACACATCGAAATTAGTTCTCGAAATCCAGTAGGGACGGTATTTCGAAGCGAGATATCTCGATCGTAGAACATAAAGTTTAGAGGTTGATCTGTAAATGGTCAGGTTTTACGACAAAAATAAAAACTATAATAAATCAAATACAGTTAAACACACGTAGGCGTGACTTTTAGAAAATTCTGGCCAAATCCCTAAGCAGCGGCAGTGAAAATCTTGGAAAATATTGCACAACAGCAAGTCACAATTAAAGAAAAAACACGCTATTAAAATCAAGTGTTAGTCGGGCTAACGCGGTTATGAACGCTAATTTCCTGAAGTTGTCCCAGGCACGTATTATGTTTCAGACGAGCTAATGCCTTCATAATCAGGGCAGTGACTATTGCATTGAACATACAAACACAATACACTCCAAAGCAACACAGACGAACAAAAATACTTCTGTGGAGTAATGATGAGCAATATTATAATTCCACACACCAAACTAGAAGAAGCTTTGTTCGAAATGAAACGGGTCTAACTGCGCGAATAAAGTAATTTATAAACACCCGGTCAGAAACAAGCCGTGTCTGTTCTGTAGGATTGGGCGGGCGGTACAATGACCACTAAAAATGCAAGCACGAGCTGGAGGGACGATAAACCGGTAATCAACGGGAATTACTACGGCTTCATAAGCAAAGACAGCCAACTGGATACCGTAGGAAGCTGGGAGCCGCTTATTACAGAGATTATGGCTTCGACCAGAAACTCGGAAACATGATTCTGCAGGCCATTCCGATCTTGAAACTAACATCAGAGGCTCTTGAGCAACATCGACAAGCATTAGTCATCACGCAAAGTTCTGGTTCGCATTCAAGAACACACATGTTGCTATTCAGACATGTTCTGTTAACTGTTCTATTAATACATGATTTCCTAAGTCTTAAGCACGACAAGACAGTGGCATGTGCTCTCTTAAATGCAGTACAAAATATATTAAACACCGGTCTTTTTAAAAAAACGTCTCCATATACAGAGACCAGCCGAAAATATAGGCCTACTAAATAAGGAGTCGTCGACAGCCAATGAGGGATGGTCCTCATATTTAAGTTTGGGTGAGGTAAAAATCACTCGCCTCAAAAAGGAGATACGTAAACAAACTCTTCTGAACGCGAAAATGAGCCTTTTGGCTTCGTCACGGGCACAGAATTTCTTGATTATGTGAGTAATTACCAGCCTTTCAAAGACAACTCGGCTCCATGAAGTCAGATGAAGGGGGAGGGGAGAGAAGTTTCTGAATATGCTGTGTACAGTACAGAAATTCTCACTTAACTACGCCAAGGGCTTCAAATACTACCCTATTGCATTACCATTCATCACCCAGTACCTGGCAAACGAAGAATATACGACAATAGTCACTCTTCTACTTCGGAATCCATACTGGTTTTTAAGGTTTATAAAGCAGGCTAAGATTAACGCATAAAGAAAATATTCCTGAAATGTCTACTGGAAGTGACAACAGCTACAGGCGAAGACCGAATGGAAGAAATCTGCCTGCAATGCAGGATACGCTTAACATGTGCTACCATGTCAAGGAAATCTTGAAGGATGATAAACGCTATGGTTATTCATTCCCATGTTTATTTCTGTTTATGTCCACCGTTCATCACGTAAGACATCCTCACAAAAACGCAGTCTCGCGTCCACGAGGGACAGATACAATACAATGAACTTAGAAATTTGTGCCCTCGAGATAATGGACACCATGACATGCGATTTCTTCACGCTGGACACAAGCCTCTTCTACGACAAGGTTTGTAATCATGCCTTCAAGACAAGCCAAGCCAACCTGTCCTAACTACACCTGAATGAACGTGGGCAAATATCTCTTCCCTTCTTAACAATGGAGGAGAGACCATGTGTGATCACATAAAAAGACATATTAATAAACTTAGAGCAGTCATATAAGATTTGAGGTTTTCACAGCGGTGAGAATGAAGATTTCTGGGGTGTTGCGCTGTGTAATCATCGCCCTGATGACGGAGGCAGTATGACCTCTGAAACGTTGGTTAATATCAACCAGACTACACAGCGCAACAACCCAGAAGACAGAAATCTTCATACTCACCGCTGTGAAAACCTCAAATCTTACATAGTTATATAACTTGGATTATCATGAAGAGAGCGTGAATAAATACAATTCAACTTACTTTCAAAACCATTAAGTATAGTATTAATTAAAATTCGCTTTTAAAGTAAAAAAAATTGCGCCATGCGCAGTTAAGTTCAATTTGATTCCTCCACTTAGCGACGTTCTACTTTGAGCACCATGCAGCAACCACCAAGGAAACAAGATGGATCGAGGCGTGGCTTTTACATTATAGACCACGAACAGTCATTACCGAAATTTTAAATCAACAGCAGATCTACTGATAAATGCGCGGTGCATTGAAGAAGAACGACAAATGAACAGACGAACAAAGTAAAAACTATATGGAGTGAACGTGCAGTGATTCACTCGGTGTCAGTGGAAAAAGACAAGTGGTTGGCAGGACTGGTCGCATAGCTTGACTTCGGTAACTGTACGTTCATTGAACCTAACCTAACCTAACCTAATTAGACGGTATTAATTCGCTCATTCTACCACACAAATTTACATACTGACAGGCGACGTGTCGTTGACTTTTTCAAATATTTATTAATTATATGTTTGTTGCTTGGGCAGTATTCTGAGTTGATCTTCCAGTGTCGCAAGAAGGGCCAGATTCCGACGAGAGAGACGCACAAATTCGGGAAGAAGACAGCAGATTGACCAAAATAGGTTTCTGGTCAACAGAATTCATGAATGGAGAATTCACTGAAGACTCCGACTGATGTGACGAATACGCACGCGCAATGTCCTGAGGTTCGGGATTGACGGAAGTGGTGATATGGGATATCTAGACCGGCAGTTCTTGGCTGTTAACAGCGGGCGGAATTAAGTAGTCACTTGTGCCTACAGTTTTACACAGATTTCCCAGATTATGCATCATCAGTTTCGCTGAATTAACAGCAGTGAAAACTTTATTCTTGACCTGGGCCTGGAGAAACGGTGGGAATGTCTTTACAGTCTCAGCCATTCTTAGGAAGAAATCTGTTACAGTATCGTCACCGCGAGTTCGCTTCTTTCTTGCTGGCTTCAGCTCAGGTTGGCTCCGGAGTCTTGAGTGAGCCGAAGACGAACGGGAGACGTAAAGGTACAATTTGGCTGCACGGGACAGAGACAAGCGACCGAGGCAGGCGACAGAGACGGGAGACGGACACATCGCATTGAGGTGACGACCGAGACATGCGGCAAAGTGTTTGTTTTCTTTGTTTTGTTGAGACATACGTGCACATATTCTGTGAAAAATGAGTACAAAAATGCTTCTAAAAAGGTTACTCGAAGAATAAGAAGA